CAGGCAACTCCTCTCCTTGGGGCTTCAAACACTTGTAGACGTTTATCCCTCTTTAACTGTCATTAGGCCAAGTCATGCATATTCATATCTTTTAATCTTTTTTTTCTCAGATCAGTTCCTTCAGTCTTTTAATCATTTGTGTTGCTTTTCTCTAAATTACCTCCAATTTGTCTATGCATCTCTGGTTCTCAGGCACCATGAAGATGCTGTTCAGACAAATCTGCCTCTGAGGACACAAGTTCATAGAAGGCTTGTTAATGCCTTTATGGTGGAGAGATTTCATTTTGCTGCTGGATACCATGATTTTAAACAGGGTTTAAAAAAAGGGCACACGATTCTATTCTTGCAGAGTGCAACAAAAGGTGACTGCCATTCACCTGAGCCTCTCGTCTGTTCCTCATTGCTGCAGTACTTGCCTCTCTTCCAGCACTACTCTGGGCAACTTGTTGAAATGTTTGTCCTCTCCTCACTTGTCCCTCCTCAGGGCGAAAGGGAAGCTTCATGCAACTGGACATCTTGTTTTCCCAGGCTTTCTGTTATTAATAAACATGTCACTGTTTTTTTATGTCAGAGAAAAGAGATACAACTTTGGACTTGGAGCAGAAAGTAGGAAAGTTTCCAACGAGCTTTGGTACATCCGTGCTCTGGGCAGGCAGCTGCACATCCAGCAACTTCACATCTTCCCCATCCCGCGCTGACGCTGGGCATGACTGCACCTCTGCGCAGCTCCGGCAGTCGTTAGTACCAGCGGAAAACATGGCTCGTTATCCACCGGATCCTCCCAACAGCCCACGTGAAAGGCATCACTTCCCTCCAGCTTATAGTGTAAGAAATGGGGGCAGAAAGGTGAAACAACCTGTCCAAGGCCACGCAGACAGCTGGGGGGTGAGCTCAGGTGAAGACTGCTTGGGGCCTGGCAGAAATCTTTGCTTGTTTGGATGGCTCAGACCGTCCTGGTTACCAGATGGTAAAGCCTCCATTATACAACATATTTTTTGCATGACTTCGCCAGAGTTATAATAAGCTTATCAAGGGGGTAACTGTTAGGATAAACCCTACAATCTTGTCCATCAGTCAGGAAGAGAAATAAATAGAAAAAACAGTAAATTCAGCTTTTCCAGATGTGTCAGTCAGCTGCAGGCTTTCCACTCAGTGACAAGCAATCAAGAGGACTCCTACAACCAGCGCTTTGCGTCCACTGGTACAGGAAATTACCCACCTAGTCCAGACCTCACGTTACAGGTTGCTTCTTTTGGTTAGACCGATTTTATGTGACTCCACTACTAACAGCACTAAAATAGCTCCATAAACATTACCATATGAGCTGGTGCGCTGCTCCAAAGCACTGGATACAGTTATTTACCAAATCCTAGCTTAAAACATATGTCATTATCTGAACTGCCTTACGTAGATGGATCAGCAACCTTTAAAGCACTGTTATTCCCTCTTTGTAACAAGGCTTGGATGCTGTTTTTTGTAATGTCATAGAGCACTTCTATAAGACCATAAGACTTTGTATGAGCACAATTTGCAAAATTAGAAGTCAGCCAGAGCGCAGCTTTTCAACTTCCCTTGCAAGCAAATCCTGGTTCCTTCCCTGCCACTGCCCTCCAGCCTGGTGGGGAAAGAATTAACAAAAGCAGAAAGAATTTGATACCCAAAGAAGAGCTTTTAGAAAGGCAGAGGAGAGTAGGGAGATAGTGAACTCAACGCCCTTCCAGGAGAACGGGAGGCTCCATTGAAAATCTCCTTCCCAGAGGATCTCAAAAAGGGATCCGGACAGGAGGGGAGGCAGTGATGGATAAGTTGTTGTAAGAGTGCGGCACAAGGAGCTGCGGTGTGGGGAACACAAGTGGTGAGATTTACTGTCCCCAGGCGTAAGCTTGCACTCCAGAGTGATACAAAGCCATTAAAGCACAAGGAGTTTTGGAGGGTCACAGCTGCCCTGGGGGCAGAGGGTGCTGATTTAGAGAGAAGCCTGCTTCTCCAAGCTCCTCTGTGGGGATGTCTCCACTGAGTGAGCCCCTGACAGGCTTTGCCAGGGAAGATGGACATGCAGGTGAGACGAAGAACACAGACCTTTCCCTGTTTGTGCCAGACATCCACCTTTGGGAGAATCACCAATTCAGTGCTTGGACAAAGCTGCCAAGGAGGCATTTTAATCACCTGCTGTTGGAGCTATTGAAAATAAAAACGTGACGATGGAGCCTGGCCTGTCAGGCAAAGGGCGATGGGAAGAGGGGAGATACAAAGAAAGTGTGGGCCCTGGAAATCCACGCCCTGAAAGATTTAACTGCCAGGACTGCCTTTGGGAGAGAGAAATAAAACCAGACTGGTCTACTGAGGCGTGCAGTAGAGCAGGAGCGATGTCTTGGGGCTTTTGCAATTCGTGGTTAAAACCTCACCAGCAACCCTCCCAAGAGATCCCACCGGCAGGGTGCAGAAGCATCAATCCTGTTGCTGCACTGATGTCCTCCACGTGCTGGTTCCCCACCCCAAAGAGTCTAAAAAGAGTTGAGTGAATCCATTTCACCAAACTGTGAATAAAGTCAGAATATCCACGCACAGCTCCTGCAAGAAGGTCCACCCGGCGTTTGCTATTGCCATGGTCGCCCAGTTCTGCAAAGCTCTAAGCAGGCTGTGCATCCCATGGGAGCTTGGGCATTTCCCAGCATGCTGAGCCTCGCCGCACACCAAGCACAAATTTTCACTCATCATCTTTATCAGAAATAAGATTATTTAGGTCTATCTTTCTTCCTATCCACCATCAGAGCTATTTGTTCCTGGGCTCTGAAAATGCAGAAGTCATTATTGTAAAGATGGTACTTTTCATGGTAAGTATGAGTTACTACTTTTAGAAAGTAAGTACCTATTTAACTAAGAGCTTTATAACAGATCAAGCAGTGTAGAGAGTACAAAAAATATGAGAGCTGTGATCCAAAGAAACTAGTTTAGTGGTAGGATTGGGCATGAAAATAGTTATCTGCTTGGTATCTTTAATATTAATTTATTCAAGACCCTCATCTCTGGATAAATACAAATTAAAAATTAAAAGCCCTTGTAAAGTAATGCATGAAACCAAAGCACCACAGAGACATTTGGAGAAGCAAATAAAACTGCCATCATAAACTACAAAGGCACTGCAGAAGCAGGGCAGAGGAGAAGGCAACTTGGAAATAAAAAAAACCCAGAAAACCAACCCGACTGCAACACAAAAGGAAGAGAGGAAGAGAGGAAGAGTTGGCTGTGGTGGTAGCAGTGAGAGGGGGGCAAGAAAAACCACCACTTAAAAAAATACATTCATAACATCACCACAACAGGGCGCAGAAGGAAATATTCACACCAGCAATTTTGAAAACATAACCCGGATTGCCTGGTGAGTGACACCTTCTGTTTGCACCAGGCAAACAGGCTCCTGCCGCAGGGCTCCCGTACTCTGGCCCCTGGGAATAATCCCCAAGGTTGCATTAGGTTCAGAGCTCAGAGCTGCACAGCGCTGACTGCTGTCATCAAACTTTAAGCAAGCACGGAAATACTCTGTAGAACAGTGTGTTTTTCAAGGCCAGCGAGAGCCAAAAAGGGGCCCATTTCAATAAATCAATGATATTGTGTAAATGTTTTGGGCAATAACAATATTGGGCAATACTAAATGGCATCGCCGGCACATGGAGGAGGTGGTCAGAGAGAGCGGCAGGTCCCCTGCACAGGATTGCTCTGCTGAGCTACATCACCCACTTGCACAGGGCAGGACAAGTTTAGAGAAAGGTCCTGGGGACTGCAGGCTGCTGGCAGGGGCCAGGGGCTGAGCTGGCAGCACAGGCAGTGCAGGCAGCACGGCTTGGCCTGGCATGGAGTCCCCACCATTCTTAATGCCCTTATCCTCATCCAGCAGCCTGGTGAGGTTGGGAAGTGCTATTTCTCCCACTTTCCAGGTGAGGGACAGAGAGAGAGCTGCTCCGGATCACATCCAATGATGTACTTAATATCCCATTGCACATTTAGGTGCTTGAATTCTCATTTAAATCAAGAAGGTACAGCCTTTTATGATGTGGGATGGCATCAACAAAGTGTGGCCAAGTGTTTCCCTGAGTCCCAGTCTGGTCCATAAGCAACTGGACTGTCCTCCTTAAACTAGCCAAAACTGTGACTGGGGATCAACAGAAGTTGGCCTTGCCAGGATGGGCCAGCAACTTTAGCCTCCAAAGGAGCGGAAAGGAGGAAAACAACCTTCCCCTTCTGGGGGCTGTGGGGAGAACTGGCCTCCAAATGGAGAGGTTTGGGGTTCAGACCACCACAATTCACTACGCACGTAGGCTGACTTGCAAGAACTGCACTGAAGGCAAGTGGCAGGTTTTTAAATATCACCAGGGATGTCTTCTGGTCCCAAGGACAATCACCAGCCTCCAAACGGTCATTGCTTCTAGCATTTATCTGGAGACAGTGCTGAGCAAAGTAATATGCTCAGTTTCTTGAGTCAAGAGCAGACTGCATAGCTCAGACGGTTGATGAAAGGCTAACTCTAATAAATATATAATACCCAAGGGGTTATCTAAGCAGCCAATAAAGATACAGAATCTTTTTTTTTATGTACTGGTTACACTCATTCAGTATGTGGCATCAAAAGAAATACAGATTTTTTGACAGATTTTTATTTCCCACTGTTACTAAAACGCATCCCCTCCTTAAAGCAGCATCTCACACAGCTCTAATCCTTCCCAATTTATCTCCGACCAAGCCTGCAGCCAACAACTCAAGGCCCTAGCTTTGTACCACGCATGTCACAAATGAGATTTTGATTCTAAATGATCAGATATGGGGATCAGATTTTGAAATTACATACATTTTGTGCATAGCCTTCATTCCCTTTCTCTTTTTTTATCTGAACTGCCCATCCCATCTCTTATGCACCCTCATGTTTAAAATAGCACGGGGATGGTTTCTATTGTAAAAGAGGCATTCATGGGAACAGAACAGAGTGAGGCTGCTGAGATTATTTTTACCTGAGCTCTGATTGCAGCATCCTTCTTAATCCACTTTATCACTGTTTCATACACCAGCTCCTCCGCTTTGGTGTTCAGGCTGTCATTGGACATGTAGGAAATGAAGTCGTCTTTCGAGATATTAAGGATCTCTTCTTGGTTTGCCACCTCAGGGAAAATCTGCAGGGCATATGCTTTGGCCATGTTGTATAGTTCAGTGCACTGCATGGCTTCGGCCATGGCTAATATTCCTAAGCAGTTGCTAGCAGTCAGTTGTTTTTCTAAAAGGAGCAAAAAAAAAAAAAAAAAA